TTGAGAGGGGACTCGAGAGTTTACTAGAAACGTGACTCGAGAGGGCACTCGAGAGATGACTTGAAAGGGAACTCGAGAGGGGACTGGAGAGGGAACTTGAGTGGGGATTCGAGGGGGAAACTGAGAGGTGGCTTGAGAGGGAACTTGAGAGGTGACTTGAGAGGGAACTCGAGAGGGGACTCGAAAGACTCGAGAGGAGACTCGAGAGGTGACTTGAGAGGGGACTTGAGAGGGAACTCGAGAGGGGACTTGAGAGGGGACTCGAGAGGGAACTGGAGGGGTGACTCGAGAGGGGACTCGAGAGGGGACTTGAGAGGAGACTTGAGTCGGTCGGAATGCCGACAGGACATGGGGAGCTGGCGTCGGCCGGAGGGCCAACAGGAGACGAGGAGCTGGAGTCGGCCGGTACGCCGACAGGACACGGGGAACTGGCGTCGGCCGGAGAGCCAGTACTGGAGCCGAAACCATGGCTGCTGGGGCCGGTTCTGGAGCAGGGACCATGGCTGCGGGGGCCGGCACTGGAGCTGGAAACATGGCTGTAAGGTCCGGTTCTGGAGCAGGGACCATGGCTGCTGGGGCCGGCACTGGAGCCGGAACCATGGCTGTTGGGCACGGAGCAGAAGCCTGGACCCTGGCGGTGTAAGCCAGGTAATGGAGCACGGAAGCATGGCTGTGTGGGCCGGTACTGGTGCACGGATCCATGGCTGCTGGGGCCAGAACTGGGGCTGGAACCATGGCTGCTGGGGCCACGGCTGGAATCATGGCCTTGCGTCTCCTAGAGACCTTTTGGAGGCTCCGTGGACCTCCTAAGGCAAGGCGGGATCCCAAGAAGGGGTTTGAGGCTCGAGGCTGGCACTCAGGGCTACTTGTAAAATCCTTAAGCCACTCGGGCAACAAGCTCCAGAGCGAGGGCTTGCGAGCAACCTCCTGACGTGCCTCCTTCAACGCAGCCTCTCTACCCCGTCTAGATGAGGTGCCATTCCACGTATAACAAATTTACTCCAGAGAGTACCCAAGACGTTCCGCCTGTAGCATCAACAAGGCTGAGTCTGCTGGGTCCATAATGGTCAGTTCGTTCTGTTAAGAACTCAGACACTTAGGAGGTAGGACCCAATTGCACGACCCGGGAGACAGAGGTAAAGTATTTGTAAGATACTTTAATTTTTTTCCAAGAACAGCTAAATGAACAACAAAAAATGGTCACTATCAAATCTGAGATGCCAAAAATGAGAACAAAAAGAAAGCGCTCACGTAGTGAGGATCAAAACTTTACGAGAGCACAAAAAGAGCATAGACCTGACCATGGCAATAGACAAAAACGAACTGACACTGAACACTTGGAGACAGGGGCATTTAAACACATGACAATCAGACACAGGTGGGAACAATCAGTGATGCTGATGAGCACAGGAGACACAGGATGACAGGTGAAAACAATCAGGAAATTAGACACACCAGGGAAACTGACGACAGACAGGAAAACACAGGGAAAAAGACCACAATGACAATACACAGGGAGGAAAACATGACAATGAGAACAGCAAAACACCCACTACACACAAAACTAAAAACGTGACACAACACAAGAATCGTGACAAGAATAGAGTCCAACCCCCTATCCAGAAGTAAGATTCCAGAGCTGACATAGACATCAAACGGCAAAACATATTCAGATGCCAGTTACTTTGGCATTAGGACAGTGGTTCTCAAACTTTTTCTGTCAGGCACAAATAGTCAGGCTCGGTGGCGGCACCAGATTTTTCTTTTGGGGGTGATGTGTGGTAGCTTGACGTTTCATAGAGGGTTCTCAAACATTTAGGGTTTCCCATTAATGTACCGGGCGCTACAGTTGAATTTTCTACTGCAACACTCCCCACGCATATACAGTGTACCCACAACTGTTACAATGAAGGCTCGATAATCAGCTCACGGAATATAGGTGTAAGCAGGGGTAAAGTGCTATTTTTATAGGTGGTGTGTGGACCTCACATAGGGGGGTCCGGGGGTAAGCTCCCCCGGGACGATTTATTTTTTAAATATTGAAGTTAAAAGCATCAATCTGGTGCACTTTGAGAGCAACATGAAGAGATCTATGGATACATCTCTCAACACCCATATGAAACAGAACTGTAAACAGATTTACTTTTTTTTAATGGACATTTTACAAATCACCCTTTTAAACTTTATTCTTGTTTTACTGTCATATAGTATTTCATACCTGTTTTTCATTTATTCTCTTATTTTTTTATAACTATAATGATCATATAAACGTGTGCCTCGGAAATAATTGTTTACATTAATGGTGACCAAAACGTTTGAGACCCACTGAGATAACATTGAGAGAGTCCTTTAGCTCACCGAGGCTCTCAGTCTGACAGGAGAGGACTCTCCTCCACTTTGTTGTTGAAAAAACTCCTTATATCCGTTAGCGTAGCTCGCTAGCACCAGAAGCTACCAACAACGATCTCCGGTACCGGTGCACTCTCTCTCGCTCTCTCGCACACAAAATGGCTCGTTCCACAAACACACACACACACACACACACACACACACACACACACACACACACACACACACACACACACACACACACACACACACACACACACACACACACACACACACACACACACACAGAGCCGAGCTTTAATGAAACACAGAGACCCAGACGTAATAGTACTGTACTGCATCATATTATTTTCGAATCAATCATTTTTCAAATTATGATCTTTTTTATCTTTTTTTTTTTAACCATTTCTCCTCCTGGTCTCTCGCGCTGTCATGCCTCTGCGCGCCCCCCACTTTGAGAACCACTGCATTAGGGCATGGATATCTAGATACTTTCCAAGGTACATTGTTACGTAGTTTAAACGGTAACAATGGACTATTTTTCTTCGAGGGTCAAGAAAGAGAAAGGAAAAGAGGTTAAAAAGCGGAGTGCTGTACGTCAGATAAATCACCAGAAGAAGGCAGAGAGGAAGTAAACACTAACAGGAACAGAACACGGTATGAGCTCTGCCAACCCAGTCTCACAAAAAAACATGTAATAACTACGTTGGTCCACAACTTGGGACGTAGTATTTCTACAAAAACGCCTCTGAAATTGTAAGATCCCTACGTTTTTTTTCACCATTCATTTCCAATGGCTGGCGTCTATGTCACGTGATCTTCAAATTTCTCCCTGCAGAAAAAAAAACATGGCCGACCTTCGTTTTATTCTCGGTGGAAAATGCCTATTTTAAGGTTAGTTAGTTAAAATGCGTTTTGATGGGATGTTTGGTCTCGAAACGTATGTTTGGTGGGATGTTTGATGGCAACATGAGATGCGTGCGACGACCTGGGTCTCTGAGCGGGGAAAGGACAGAATTAATTGGGTGTCGTCAGCGTAGCAGTGGTATAAAAAACCATGCGGGCTAATGACTGATCCGAGCGAGTTTGTGTACAGAGAGAAGAGGAGGGGACCAAGAACAGAGCCCTGAGGGACCCCTGTAGTTAATTGACAAGGGTCGGACTCTGACCCTGTCCAAGTTACCCTGTAGGTGCGGTCTTTGAGGTAAGAGGTGAGGAGGGAAAGCGCAGAGCCTGAAACTCCAAATTCTTGGAGAGTGCGAAGGAGGATCTGATGGTTCACCGTGTCGAATGCAGCAGACAGGTCCAAAAGGATGATGACAGAGGAGAGGTAGGCTGCTTTAGCCGTGTGCAGTTCCTCAGAGACAGCGAGGACACTTATTACACTATTTGTACCGTGTGGTCTCTGTAAATCCCTGGATTATCTTCCCTTGTTTGGTCTCTCCCTCGTTTCCCATCCTCTGTTCAATTATCAGAGTTTTTCATTTTTAGTGAATATTTTGGCTAGTTCTGCTTTATCTTCATGTGATGTTGCTATCCCATCTCCATCTGTAAATACTGGGTAATGCTTGTTTTATTTGCCTTTTTTTACAACCTTCCTTACCTTTGCCTGTGTCCTTTTATAATCAATTACGTTTAGAAAATGTTGGGTTCACTTTAACCATTTTAAAGCTTAATTCCTTTCTTTAAAGGCTTTCCTGCATTAATCTGACCACCATGAAACTCCTTTTTTATTCATTTTCCCTTTGCATCTGGGTATTGATAGATTTGCAGCTTTGATTATAACTTCTCTACATTTGTTATCATTTACTTCATGTTTTCTTTATTGTTATTTATTAGCTGCATAAACTTACATTATTTTCCTATTCATGACATGGTTTAGTAAGCCAGAGAAGAGAGGGAGGGGAAGTGTTTGTTACGTCTTTGTTATATAACAGTATTAGATTACATCCATATGCAGAGGAGGGAAACTAACTAAGTACATTTACTCAAGTACTGTACTTAAGTATAATCTCGAGGTACTTGTACTTTACTTGAGTATTTACATGTAATGTTACTCTGTACTTCTATTCCACTACATTTATTAACAGCTTTTAAACCAAATCTAAAATGAAACTAGTGTACTAACTCTTTAAGACACAGAAGAGTCAAATTATTTAAATATTTCCAACATTTTTTTAAATGTTTTAATTAGAAATATTTTTAGAGAATGTTATTAAATATAATTTTGCATCACGTTATGTTTATAAATGTTTTAATATTTGTAAATGTTTTTTTTAATGTTGTATTTTTTATTTTATTCACGTTTTTTTTATATATATTTGATTGTATTTATATAAAATATTCATGTTTGTAAAAAGAACTATTTTTAATTCTATTTAAAAGTTATTCCACATTCTTTTTAAATGTAATGGTTATTTTATTATTATTTTATCTATATTTGTATCCCAATTTTTGTATTTACTTATTGACATCTGCATCTGAACATCGTACTAAACGAACAAAAAACGTTACAAAAAAAACTTGCAAAACAAATGTGGGAGTGTCAGTGTTGATACGTTCTTAGAGATTAATGGACTAACATTTGTAAACTGATGTCATATACTGACAGAACTCCTCCCTCACCTGAGACAAACCAGGAAACAGTTTGTTATTCTCCCTCACTGCAGAGAGACAGACGGACTGAAAAACAGACGATCAGATTCACCTTCAAACCAAACTAACAACTTCCTCTGAGTTCAGCTACAGGAGAGAAAAGTGGAAACTACAACACTGCTGCTTCAACCTGCGGACCCTCCACCCCCTGAAGGTGAGTCTGAATCCAACTCCACTCAATACCTGTTGAAACCTGCTAAAATATTTCAGGTGATCGACTCCTTTCCCATGGCAGTAAATTGATTGGCTACGACTTGACGTGCAAATAAAGCAGATGATCTCTATGAGAGTAATGATGATAAGTACCGTGAATTCTGCAGACAAAAAACTGAATTCACAATAAAAGTGACCAAAACAATGCTTTTTTTTATTAGGCAAATGTGCCAAGTCACCAACACCTCCTTTGTGGAGCTGAGAGTCCTGCTTTACTTTAAAACATCCATTAAGACTGTTCAACTTAATACTTTATGAGTTACTTGGTGAATAAAATGTTTTGTACTGCAGAAATGAAATGAGGTTAAACCACTTCACCGGCCAGGTTTAGAGGAGTGGCTGCTGTATGTGTAATGAGAAACACATGTGTGTTACAGGTGAACTAATTAGCCGCCTTTAGCTTAGCGGTGGTGACGTGAAGTCATGTGACCATGCTGTAGTTCCTTGACAGTCCAACATTAGCCACCTTTAGCTTAGCGGTGGTGACGTGAAGTCATGTGACCGTGCTGTAGTTCCTTCATAGCCCAACATTAGCCACCTTTAGCTTAGCGGTGGCGACGTGAAATGATGGTTTATTGATAAGGCAAAAGTAACAGAAGTAAAGATATAGTAAAACAAACTTAAATGTAATGCTGCAATCATTGAGAAGCCTCAGTGGAAATATACTGTGTGAATACTGTGTGCAACAACAACGCTGAGTTAACCAGATTAAGAACAGACGCATCCTGTTCTGTCCTGTTCTGTCCAAAACTGAAATGCCACAAAGTTGCAGAACTCATTGTTCTCACACAAAGTCACCCACCAAGCAGGCGCAACGTTTCCCAAGGGCAGTCTTGTGAGAACCTAAGGGTTGCTGGACAGCAAAGGCAGATTACACCAAGACAGAGCACAAAAGGTGGGGGCTACACAGCAAAAACTATAAGGACAGGATGTTTCTACAACTCGGGGCTCTCTTTAACTGGGATCTTACTCTGACGGACCTGTCACGGTGAGACCTCAAGAAGGAGTCCAAAGCGCTTTGTGGTATAAGTATCAAATTGAATGCATTTGCTGAACTGTGATTAAAGTACCAAAGTAATATCAGAACCAAATCAGAGTACAAAGTCCAGTGGTGTTTGACTGTTTGACTATTCCTAGACTGCCTCTGCTCTCCAGAAAAGAACGGTTCACCGGGAACATCGGGCCAGACCCTGCTCTGGCCATATCCAAACGATCTGCGCGGAGTACGGACTAGGTCCTGTAGACTCCAACAGAAATCATGTGACCGTGCTGTAGTTCCTTTATAGCCCAACATTAGCCACCTTTAGCTTAGCGGTGGCGACATGAAGTCATGTGACCGTGCTGTAGTTCCTTTATAGCCCAACATTAGCCGCCTTTAGCTTAGAGGTGGCGACGTGAAGTCATGTGACCGTGCTGTAGTTCCTTTATAGCCCAACATTAGCCGCCTTTAGCTTAGCGGTGGTGACGTGAAGTCATGTGACCGTGCTGTAGTTCCTGTATAGCCTAATGTTAGCTTTTTACTTCAACAATCATAAAGTGGTCTGAAAATAGCACCTTGAAAGAAGCATCTGATGTCTCTTATTACCATTATATATATTGTTATTTGAACATGTAGGTCAATTCAGGGCTGAGACGGGTTTAAAGTGGAATCTGATTTTGTTTAAATTTGAAGAGTATGCCGAACAAAACAAGATTCAGCAATAAGGCTTGCTATGTGAGCGTGGCTTCAGTTTCAATAATAATAATAGATTAATTTTGTTAGCGCTTTTACAGGTGCTCAAAGACGCTTTACAGATATAGTGAAAAGAAAAGAAAAGAAAGGAACAACAAATAAATATATCGTTAAAGTTAAAGTTAAATAATACAAAAGCAATCACACATTAAAAGCCAGATTGAAGAGGTACGTTTTTGTGAGTTTTTTTAAGGTGGTGAGGTCAGTGCAGTCTCTGATGGGTTGGGGGAGTGAGTTCCAGAGGGAGGGGGCAGCGACGGAGAAGGCTCTGTCCCCCCAGGTCCGGTGATTGATGTGGGTAGGGATGGATAGGAGGTTGGCTTCTGATGAGCGGAGGCAGCGGGAAGGGAATAACACTTTATCTCTAATATTTAATGCATGCCTCCTATTTAATATGTTGCTATTTTGCCTTTTTACCTTTGGCTTTCTTGCATTCATCTGTCCACCATGAAACTGCTTTTTAAATGAATGTTCCCTTTGCTTCTGGGTATTGATAGATTTACAGCTTTGATTATAAGTTCTCTACATTTGTTATCATTTACTTCATGTTTTGTTTATTATTGTTTATTATTTATTATTTATTAGCTGTATAAACTTACATTATGTTCCTATTCATGCCATGGTTTAGTAAGCCAGAGAAGAGAGGGAGGGAAAGTGTTCATTACGTCTTTGTTATATAACAGTGCTAGATTACATCCATATGTGTCACGATCTTAGTTTTATGTCACGGTTTCAGTTTGGTCTGTCTTGTCATGGTTTTATTTTGCTATTCTGTTCTCCCTGTGTCTTGTCTTCCTCCCTGTCGTTAGTTTCCCTGATGTGTCTGATTGTCTGATTGTGTTCACCTGTTGCCCTTGTGTTTCTCCTTCCCTGCCTGGCTGTTTCTCGTCTCGTGATTACCCCTCCCTGTATTTAGTCTTGTCTCTTCCTGTGTTCGGTGTTGGTTCATTATTTGTCGTTCATGTCTCCTTTCATGTTGGTCACAGTCACCTTTTGTTTGGATGCTACTTCGTACTTGTTTGTGGATTCTTGTTTTTTCAGCTTTTGAAAATAAAGCTCGCCTTTTGTTTCCTGTTGAAACCTGCTTCCTCCTCAATCTGCATTTGGGTCCTATTTTTCCCCAACCGTGAGGCTTGCTGCTTTTATTGGTGGAAGGGAGTGTCCAGTGTTCGGCAGAGGAAGGCCGCTCTGGTAGAGGCGCACCGGTTGGCAACAGAGAAGCCATGTTTAGTTAAGTTCTTACCTGACTGGATTTTGGACTTCCTTTCAACATGTGATTCCCTGCCTGCTAGCCCCAGGCATGGTAGCTCCCTGCCTCCCAATTCCCAACCTGACACCATACGCCTCGGTGTGTTACGTCTGGAGTCAACCACTGGAGACGCTTACCAACCGCAGCTTTGTCCTCCAGACCAGCAATGGCCAACGCAGCAGGCTCAGAAGACTGAGGAACGGTGTTCTGCAGGGGTCGGTTCTCTCGCCGATGCTATTCAACATTTATGTACATGACCTACCTGACACAACATCCAGAAAGTACGGCTATGCAGACGATCTAGCCATCATGCTGAGACGATCAACATGGAAGGCGATGGAAGATGGCCTTAACGACGACATGGGCACCCTGGTAGCATACTTTCAAAGGTGGCGTCTACAGCTCAACATCGGAAAGAAAGTAGCAGCGGCATTCCATCTTAGCACCAGAGAAGCTAGGAGGGAACTTGAGGTGCGTGTCAACAATAAACGTCTGGAAGTCCAGCAAGCCCCGAAGTACCTCAGTGTGCGTCTGGATTGGACACTGTCCTTCAAACAACACCTTGAAGAAGTCAAGGCCAAGGTAACATCAAGGGTCGCGCTGATACGCCGCCTCGCTGGAACAACCTGGGGAGCCTGCGCTAAGACGCTGCGATTATCGACCCAAGCCCTGGTCTTCTCTGCAGCGGAATACTGCGCCCCAGCCTGGAGCAGAAGCCCTCACGCAAGTAAGGTTGACGTGGTCATCAACAACGCCCTCAGGATTATAACTGGATGCTTGAAGCCTACCCCTGTGTCCCTCTTTCCAGTCCTCGCGGGAATAGCTCCGGCCAGCCTCCGACGGGAGGCTGCCACCCTCGCCCTGGCCAGGAAAGCCCAAAAGCATGACTGGCACATCCTGCATAGCACGACAACAAGAGCAGCGCCTCTAAGTAGGCTCAAGTCCCGCCTCCCCTTCAACAAGGCAGCACAAGAGATTCTCAATTCCACCTCTGAGGACCTCTCCAGAGATGCGTGGTTGGCGGCTGCTTGGAGGCAGGAGTGGGAGCTAGCCGGGCCCTCCCGCATCCATCGCTACATCTGGGACCCAGGAGATGGAGCCATAGGAGGAGACAACTTACCACGCCGGCAATGGACCACACCAAACCGTCTAACATCTAACTGATCATTTTCATTTTTTTTTCAAAAAAAACCCCACAAAAACCCCACAATACAAGCTGCAGCTGATTCAGAACGCTGCTGCTCGAGTCCTCACTAACACTAAGAAAGTGGATCACATCACTCCTGTTCTGAAGTCTTTACACTGGTTCCACACTAAAGGCCCTGACACACCAAGCAGTCACCAGAGAACTCGCCGACGCTGTTCTCCTGCGTCTTGGCCATGTGTCGCACTGGAACACACCGCAAAGACTTCAGCCGAACACGTACGAACTGCGCATGCGTGAGTGGCAATAACTCTCCTTACCAGCAGGCGGCGGTAGTGTATATTCGTCATTCAAAACAGGCAACAACCGGAAGACCGAGAAGAAGAACAGACTACGTGATATAAACAAACAACAAATAGCGTGTGCGTTCCATTTTCACTCTCGTCCATCGAAAACATGTTTCGTGCGGTACTGGAGCTATCATCTATTGGAGTGTTGCTTGTGGAAGACACGGCCGATTCAACATGTTGAATCGGCCGTGCGTCGGCCATTAAAGGCCAAATAAGGTGTGTCACGGCCAACGGTGCGGGACACACCAAATTGAGTTTGGGCGAGAGGGCACGCTTCGTCGTCCGACTAACGAAAATGGCCGATTTCGGCCTGGTGTGTCAGAGCCTTTAAACTGCACTGTAACTTTAATCCATGTATTTTTTCTTTTAATGTTTATTTTATTATCTTTGCTTTTTAATGAGTGATTTTAAATGCCATTCTCTTAATGTCTTTCATTTTTGTAAAGCACTTTGAATTGCCTTATTTGGAAAGGTGCTGTATAAATAAACTGGCTTTGCCATGCTTTGCCTTGCATCTGCATCTGAATATCATACTAAACGAACCAAATGTTAAAAGTGTTAAAAATGTGTTAACATTTGTAAACTGATGTCATATACTGACAGAGCTCCTCCCTCACCTGACTCACCTGAGACAAACCAGGAAACAGTTTGTTATTCTCCCTCACTGCAGAGAGACATACGGACTGAAAAACAGACGATCAGATTCATCTTCAGACCAAACTAACAACTTCCTCTGAGTTCAGCTACAGGAGAGAAAAATGGAAACTACAACACTGCTGCTTCAACCTGCGAACCCTCCACCCCCTGAAGGTGAGTCTCCAAACATCACTCAAAGTGAATTTCAGTGAAGTCAGTAGAGGAGGGGGAGGGGAGCCATGACTGACTGTACTTCCTGTCTGCTGTGTTTCAGCTTCACTCAGAGACAACATGGCTTCCAGGTTAGAGGAAGATCTCTGCTGTCCGGTCTGTCAGGACGTCTTTAGAGATCCTGTTCTTCTGTCCTGTAGCCACAGCTTCTGTAAAGCCTGTCTGCAGACCTGGTGGGATGGGAAAGAAGTAAAGGAGTGTCCAGTTTGTAAGAGAAAATCCTCCAAAGATGAACCTCCCTGTAACCTGGTGTTGAAGAACCTGTGTGAGACCTTCTTACAGGAGAGAGACCAGAGACCTCCAGAGGCTCTCTGCAGTCTGCACTCTGAGAAACTCAGACTCTTCTGTCTGGACCATCAGCAGCCAGTGTGTCTCGTCTGCAGAGATTCAAAAGCACACACCAACCACAGCTTCAGACCCATCGATGAAGCTGCTCAGGATCTCAGAGAGGAGCTCCAGAAATCTCTGCAGCCCTTTCAGGAGAAACTGAAGCTCTTTGAAGAAGTTAAAGTGAAGTTTGATCAAACAGCAGGACACATGAAGGTCCAGGCTCAACACACAGAGACGCAGATAAAGGAGCAGTTTCAGAAGCTTCACCAGTTTCTAGAAGAGGAAGAGGAGGCCAGGATGGCTGCACTGAGGGAGGAAGAGGAGCAGAAGAGGAGGATGGTGGAGGAGGAGATGGAGGCTGTGAGCAGAGAGATAGCAGCTCTTTCACACACAGTCAGAGCCACAGAGGAGGAGCTGAGCACTGAAGACGTCTCCTTCCTGCACAACTACAAGGCTGCAGTGGAGAGGCTGCAGCGCCCCCTGCTGGAGGATCCACAGCTGCCCTCAGGAGCTCTGATAGACCAGGCCAAACACCTGGGCAACCTCAGCTTCAACATCTGGAGCAAGATGAAGGACATGGTGTCCTACTCTCCTCTCATCCTGGACCCAAACACTGTTCATCGAAACCTCATCCTGTCTGATGATCTGACCAGTGTGAGTGAAGGAGGAAGAGAGAGACAGAAACCTCCTGATAATCCAGAGAGGTTTAATTATTACCGCTCTGTCCTGGGATCTGAGGGCTTTAACTCAGGGACTCACAGCTGGGATGTCCAGGTTACAGACAGTAGATGGTGGGATCTGGGTGTGTTAGCAGAGTCTGTCCGGAGGAAGGGAAACAATCTGTATGGATTATGGAGAATATCTCTCCACGGAGGTTATTCCTCTGCATATTCACCATCAGATCCACACACTCCTCTCAGCCTGAAGGAGGAGCTCCAGAGGGTCAGAGTGAATCTGGACTGGAACAGAGGAAAGTTGTCGTTCTCCGATCCTGACACTAACACACACATACACACCTTCACACACACTTTCACTGAGAAGATGTTTCCATACATTTACACTGGGGGTGAAGTGAAGATATTACCACTGAAGGTGTGTGTGACAGTGGATCAGAGCATGTAGAGATGAACAGGATCATTTTATCTATGGTGTTTATCTCTTAAAGGGATCATTCCCTGACCTCTGAAGCACCTCCTGTCCTCCTGCCGTCTCTATATTCCAAACGTGTTTATTTATTTTTCACAATTTATTTTGTTGTTGTTGTTGAGTATGATAATTTGCTTTTCATATATATTATCAACTTTAATTAAATTAATGCATTGAGCTGCCCCTTTTATCCAAGGGACCAACATGTAACTGCAAGAATCCTTCATTTACATCACATGTGCTGAACTGCTACATTTAGAGGACATTGTATATTTATATATATCTTCACATTTTAAATGATCTCAACAAGTTTCAGATTGGTGAGTTAGTTTAACCTTTTTATGTTTCAAGTTTGTCAATTTAAACTGTTCATTTTTTACTACTGCATGATGGGATTTAAAATAAAGAAAACATTTATCCAAGTTTGAGCAGTGAATCATTGATCAACTCCATTTGAAACATGTTTAATCCAACCCAGTCTCACAAAAAAAACGTGTAATAACCGCATTGGTCCACAACGTAGGACGTAGTTTTATTCTCGGTGGAAAATGTCTATTTTAAGGTTAGTTTGGCCATTAAATTGCGTTTTGATGTCATTTGATGCGATAAATATGAGTTGTTATTTCAGATTATGTGTGCAGTGGATGCACATGATCTTTAGTTTGCTAGTTATTATGAAGATTACTTCAGGAAATTGTGTCCATTCAACGTTTTCATTGTTTTCATTGGTGGTTGCTAGGGACGCTGGTATCGATATTATTTCTGTTATGTTGTGTAACTGTTTAATGGTGTTGTCTTTATTGCTACCCCCTTCCCCGTCAATTTATAGTGTTGGTCCACAGCGCAAACGTATTAGTTTAACAAAATCCGCATCTAAAATTGTGGCATATACGTTATTTTCCCCTGTGCAATTCTCCATTTACTCAACAATAACACATAATTATCCTTGTGTTTATTTATTTGTTTGATTAATAAACACAAGTTGGAGTCCGTCAGGACCGAGGGTCGGAGCAGCTCATTTGCTTTAGAGAATATTACACCCGGAAGTAAGTATTCTCTCTGCTTCGCTTGACAAACCCATGGACAAACCCCGTGATAGTCCTCAAGCTCTGTGATTGGATGTTTGAGTGTGCTCCGACGGTTACGCCGAGCGTCGAACAGCACTTGAAATGGGATGGAACCACGGCAGACTGTCCAAAACTGGATTTGAACGGGTCCACCTCGTCCCCAGAACTACACATGCTGGCTATTGTGTTTTGCAACATGTTCTCTATGGCACGTCTCTACTGGGAATTGTAGTTTTAAAAGACGTTTTCGTATTTCCCATAATAAGAAGTTGCCAGTTGTTACGTGCCGTAGTGGGTGCTGGTGTTTGGGTGTGTGTGTGTGTGTGTGTGTTTTTCTCTCTCTCCCTCTATATTGCCTCCAGGTGCAGCCTCTCCCTCCAGGTGCAGCTTCTCCTCAGGTGCTCCCAATCACTAATCAGGGCCTCCATAAAGGACCTGGGAAAAGCTGCAGTCTCTCTCCCCTTCTCCCCGGGCTGGATGTGTGCAGCGTGGTGTCCATGTCTCCAATATATATATATATATATTTGTAGCAAGATTTGTTTTGCAAGTTGGCTGGTGAGCAGTGTTCCTGTTTGATCATTAAACGACTTGTTAGTTACTCAGAGATCGGTTTTCTCTCCCTTTTTTGTCGTGCTTGGTCAACCTGGTGTGTTGTTACTTCCCTTTGTACCCCCTAGATCTAGAAGGGAACGTAACACCAGTATTAAACTGTGTACATCCCTGGAGGTTTAGGGGATAGGAAACACTCACATTTAAAACATATAATTAATAAATGGATGAAAATTGCTTGTGCCCATAATGGGCAGCATTAATATATACCCACATGACAGCTAAGGTCAGAAGAGCTTTATTTAACAGCTGGTCTTATGTCTGTGACCCCTCCTGTTGTTAATTGATAAGCCTGAAAGATGCACTTGTCAAGTTTCAGAGGCAAATATGGCAGTAGCCATCGATCAGCTTAAGATAAGATATACTTTATTGATCCCAAGTTGGAAACATTTGCGTTACATCAGCATGTGTAACAGTTGTAAATATGCAGTGGTGTTTATTTGTAAATCATTTAGTATAATCACACAAATTCTGTGTTTTATATTTAATAATTCTGTGTTCTTTATTTATTGATTGCAGTAAGACCGTGGTTCTCAAAGTGGGGGGCATGCCAGGGGGACGCGAGAGACCAGGAGGAAAAATGGCTATTAAAAAAAAAAAATCATAAATTGAAATTGAAAAATTATTGATTCGAAAATAATATGATACAGTACTATTACGTCTGGGTCTCTATGTTTCATTAAAGCTTGTGTGTGTGTGTGTGTGTGTGTGTGTGTGTGTGTGTGTGTGTGTGTGTGTGTGTGTGTGTGTGTGTGTGTGTGTGTGTGTGTGTGTGTGTGTGTGTGTGTGTGTGTGTGTGTGTGTGTGTGAGAGAAAGAAAAAAAAACACACACACACCCCGGAGATCGAACAACAAAGTGGAGGAGAGTCCTCTCCTGTCAGACTGAGAGGCTCAGTGAACTAAAGAACTCTCTCATTGTTATCTCAGTGGGTCTCAAACGTTTTGGTCACCATTAATGTAAACAATTATTTCCGAGGTCCCCTCTGCCAAGGACAAGTAACAAGAGGAATCAAAACAAGAGAAAGACACAACACATCGCTCAGAAAACCCTGAAAATCTATCACTGTCAGCCACAGCTTGTTACAAAAAACCTGACTGATAGTGTGTTCAACAAACTTAAACTAGCTTTATTAAATGTCAGGTCTTTGGCAGGTGAAACATTTTTAATCAATGATTTTATCACTGAGCACAATCTCAATTTTATGTTTTTAACGGAAACATGGATTGAACAAAATAACAGTGCAGCTGTTCTTATCGAATCAACCCCTCCCAACTATAGTTTTATGAGTCAGGAAAGAATGCATAAGAAAGGGGGTGGAGTTGCTATTTTGTACAATGATTCGCTTCAATGCAGGAAGACATCTTATGGGAACTTTTCTTCTTTTGAATATGTGGCCCTTCAGCTGAAATGCTCCTCTCGAGCTCTGTTCCTAAATATCTATAGACCACCCAAATACTGTGCAAGCTTTTTTGATGACTTTACTGAACTGCTGTCTATAGTGTGTATTGACTTTGACCGTCTAGTCATTGTTGGGGATTTTCAACCTCTGTGGATCCAATCCAAGGACATTCTGGAAAACAGTGAAAGAGATGGAGAATAAACCCCCATCCTCTCATCTCCCTAACTCCCTCGTTATTGAGGACACAGTAGTCACCGGTAATGAACGCATAGCAGAGCTCTTTAACCAGCACTTTGTTAAATGTGGGAACCTATTTGGCTGTATAGCGCCTCCTAAGCCCCCCACCAACACTCCGCCACCCAGCCCCTCTTGCGCAGTCCCATGTCACAGCTTCTGCCTACAGGAAGTTAGTGAGAACGATGTGCTGGAGGTCCTTAGCAAACTTGACCCCAACAAACCTGCAGGTCTTGATGGGCTAGACCCCTTCTTTTTTAAAGTTGCAGCCCCGATTATTGCAGAAGCTATCTCCCACCTTTGTAATCTGTCCATACAGATAGCAGTGCTACCTTCTGCCTAGAAGGCAGCCTTAGTATAACCTTTGTTTAAAGGGGGAAACCATGCTGACCACAACTGCTATCGTCCAATATCCATTCTACCCTGTATAGCGAAAGTGTTCGAAAAGTTAGTTTGCAAACAGCTAACATGGTTTCTGAAGACTTACAACATACTATCTGACATGCAGTCTGGGTTCCGTGCAGGACATGGGTGTGAGACGGTGACTCTCAAAGTCCTAAATTATATCATCAATGCCCTTGACTCCAGACAATACTGTGCTGCCATTTTCATCGATCTTGCCAAAGCCTTCGACACTGTATATCACCAACTGCTTCTGGGAAAGCTTAGATGCATTGGTGTCACTAACCAATCGATAGCCTGGTTTGAAAACTACCTGTCCATGCGAACCCAGTGTGTAAAGTCTGACAATCTAATGTCACAGCCCCTATCCATCTCTAAGGGAGTACCACAAGGCTCTATTCTAGCACCCATCCTATTCTCAATATATATAAATGACATGGAGAAATCAGTGGGCAACTCTTCTATCCACCTATATGCTGATGACACGATTCTGTACACTGCTGGCCCTTCCCCGGATACTGTCCTGAAAACTCTTCAGGATAGTTTTCAGAGAATCCAGTCACATCTCTCTGTCCTTGGCCTGGTCCTGAACACCACTAAAACCAAGATCATGTGGTTTGGCCGCAGTGGTGCCTCCCAAACTGGCACTATTGTGACCGCCGATGGCCGAGACCTCGAAATAGTTAAATCTTATAAATACCTTGGATTTTGGATTCACAGTAATCTGTCATTCTCAGAACATCTCTCCAAAATTCAGACCAAGGTTAAAGCTAGACTCAGCTTTCTATATAGGAATCGCTCCTCATTCACTTCATCTGCTAAACTCTCTCTGGTCCAGATGACTGTCCTTCCTCTGTTCGACTACGGTGATACCATCTACCGCTCGGCGTGTAAAGGAGCTCTCTCTTGAGACCAGATGCAACATCCACTGGCTGATGTTTGTTTACAAAACACTCCTAGGCCTCACCCCCTTCTACCTCACACAATTACTGCAACTCCGCCCACCCCCGACGCACAACACCCGGTCAGCTACAAGCATCCTGCTAAAGATCCCCAAAGCCCATACATCCTTTGGCCGCTCCGCCTTTCAGTTTGCAGCAGCAGATAGCTGGAATGTCTTTCAAAAAACGTTGAAAATGAAAACCTTTGTCTCCCCCCGCACCTTCAATGTCACTATTATTGACACCCTGGTACACACATGTAGCTGCTTTGCCTGATGCTGATTTTAATGACTGATTAAACCACAGCAATATTGTTTTAGAGTGTTTATATGTTTAACTGCTATGCCTGTCATCTTTGCTCTATGTGTTTGTGTTGTGTCCTGGGTTCTGTAGTGCCCGGAGTGTGTCTTTTTATTTTTTTTCCCTCCCAAACCCCATCCCCTCAGGAAGCCTTTGCCTCCTGTCAGGTCATCATTGTAAATAAGAATTTGTTCTTAATTGATTTCCCTGGATACATAAAGGTTCTACTACTACTACTACTACTTAACATCCATGTTGACAACCCCCAGGACAGAGGGGCTAAAGAACTGTTTTGTGTTCTTGATAACTATGGACTGACTCAGCATGTGACGGAGCCCACGCACAATAAGGGGCACACTCTGGACTTAATTATCTCAAAGGGTCTGAATATCTCTGAGGTTGTGGTGACTGATGTTGCACTCTCTGACCATTGCCTGTGTTTTCTTTGAGAGCTCTATTTCTGTTTACAA